AAGAGAAACCAGCTCAGCTCTTCTCCCTGGGATGTCATCTCTCAGAACCTGACCTACATGGTGAGACCCATTATTGGAATCACAGAATCATTCTAGTTGGAAAAGACCTTTCAGCTCATCAAGTCAAACCATGGAGGGCAGCAGCTCTTCCAAAGCCTCCTTAGGGAGAGGGTGAGTTCTTCTCAGGGTCTGGAAGTTGAGAAAGATCTGGGAAAACTGTGTCCCCTTTCAAGAAAACCCCACACTCACAGAATTGAGTGTTTCTGTGAGGTCTGGGATGTGGGAAGGAGGCTGGTGTGGATGAAAGGTGAGCAGAAATGGGAGAGCCTGAGACACCCACCCATTGAGGGTTAATTTCCTCCTCTTTCTCATTTCCTTATTAGAGCTGAATCTCTGTGACACTTCACCCTGGCACTGCCCTTGGCAGCTGCTGGTTGGGAACATCTATCATGTCAGATAAATGCACTTGGTGCTGCCTGTGCCAGAAACTTCTCCAGGGATCACAGGCTCCACTCTCAGGCTCCTCCTGCTCAAAACCTGAGATACAACACAGGGTTTGTCCCTGAGAACCACCCCAAGCAGCTCGTGGGGGTAACAGGTTTGTCTTTAAGGAGCACAAGTCTGGTAGCAGAAGTTTATCATCTGGAGGTGAATATGGCTCTGAAATGCAGACAAAACACTCCCAGATTGGCTCAGGAACGTGAAGTCACCATCCTGCTCTGTCCTCTGGTGCCAGTGGGACAGATTTCTGTCCCAGAGGCATCTTTCTGCTGCCAAAAATCCAGATTTCAGGGCAGGATGGAGCGGGGCAGCCACAAGGGAGCAAGAAGGGACAGTCCTGAGAAGCTTTCCTGGGGAGGAATGAGTGTTTGCAGCAGAAAAGCTGCTCATTATTCATCCTCCCAAACATCCCACGAGCATGTGAACACTTGATTCTTGAAGCCAAACACCCTCCACCAAAAATAGTTCAGCAAACAGCAGAGAAGTGGCACAAACTGTGACACGTGTTTCCCCAGCCCAGGCCCTGCTCATCTTTGGGTCATGATTTGGTTTAGGGAGCAGCTCAAGAGACAAATCAGCTTCAGTCTTCCAAGCAGTGCCTTGGAAAAATAGTTTCCCCCTCATGAGACCCCACCTGGAGAACTGAGTCCATTTCTGTAGCCCCCAGCAAGGACATGGAGCTGTTGAGGAGAGTCCAGAGGAGGCCCCGGAGATGCTGGGAGGGCTGGAGCAGCTCTGGAGCCAGGCTGGGAGAGTTGGGGTGTTGAGCCTGGAGAGGAGAAGGCTCCAGGGAGACCTTAGAGCAGCTTCCAGGGCCTGAAGGGGCTCCAGGAAAGCTGGGGAGGGACTTGGGCCAAGGGCAGGGAGGGATGGGATGAGGGGGAGGGATGAAAAGTGGGAGAGGGAGCTGGAGGTTGGAGCTGAGGAGGGAATTGTGGAGTGTGAGGGTGGGGAGAGCCTGGGCCAGGTTGCCCAGGGAAGCTGTGGCTGCCCCATCCCTGGGGGTGTTGAAGGGCAGGTTGGATGGGGCTTGGAGCAACCTGGGCTGGTGGGAGGTGTCCCTGCCCATGGGGGGGTGGGAATGGATGAGCTTTGAGGTCCCTTCCAACCCAAACCCTTCTGTGCTTCTCTGATATGACCCACAAGCTGCTTTCACCTTAACATTTGGACACACAGCACCAGATGGATCCAATTCTGCTTTAAAAAGTGTGTTCCTGATAGAAGAAAAGAAGAAAATAAAAGGAAATGTGAGAGTTTCACAATCAAACTATAATTTTCTTAACAGCAGCTTCTCCAACACAGACTGTGCAGGTAGGAAGAGCAGCTCATGGGAACTTCCTTCTTCTGGCTCAGGAATTCTTCCACGGTTTTGATTTGATTAAAAGAGAAGAAAACCATCCTGAAAGAGCCCAATAAACTACTCTGAGAAGCTGAAGCCTCACTCAGCCCCCCCTGTTTCCTCTTTGTTTTTACAGTCTCTTTGACTACAAATGAGGCTGGTCATGCTTGGGAAAGAGGATGAGCACGTGTTGGGACACCAGATCTACCTGGAGCTCGAGAGGGATGTGCTCAGGAACAAAGATGAGATTGTTCTGGGAGACAAAGGCAAGTGCAGGGTCCTGGGAGTAACCCCAGGAATGAGCTCCCCGGGCCAGGTGAGGGGCTGACCTGCTGGGAAGCAGCTCTGGAGAAGGACCTGGGAGTCCTGGGGACACACCAAGGGAAGCAGGAACGTGCCCTGGTGGCCGAGAAGGGCGATGGAACCCTGGGGTGCAGGAAGAGGAGCAGGGCAGGGGGTTCTCCTGCCCCTCTGCTCTGCCTGGGGAGGAGGAGGCTGAGAGGGATCTTCTCAGTGCTCGTGGAACATCCACAGGGCGGGTGTCAGGGATCCTGGAATGGCTGAGGCTGGAAGGACCTCCAAGACCATCCGGTTCCCACCTCCCACCAGCCCAGGCTGCACAAGCCCCGTCCAACCTGGCCCTGAGGACGGGCCTGACCCTTCCCAGCGGTGCCCAGAGACAGGAGGAGGCACGAGGGGCACCAGGAGGGAAGTTCCAGCTGAACGTGAGGGCGGCAGAGCCCTGGGACAGGCTGCCCAGGGAGGCTGGGGAGGCTCCTCTGGAGACATTCCCAACCCAGCTGGATGGGACCCTGGGGGGCTCTGGGGGGACCTTCCCTGGCAGGGGTTGGGCTGGAGGAGCTGCTGAGGGGCCTCCCAGCCCCTCCAGCTGTGCTGCCCTGCTCACCAGGGGCTGTCACTGCAGCAAGAGAACCAACCGTCCCCAGTCCAGCACCTATAACTCCTCCTGGCTTCAGGGCTGGGGAAAAGCTGGTGCTGGGGAAAGGAGCCCAGAGCCACGGGGGGGCTTCCCAGCCTGCAGAGCCTGCCCAGGATGTGCCACAAACCGAGGGATTCAGCAGAGCAAATCAATTGTCCTTCTGTCTGACAAGGTGCCTCTGTCTGTGCCACCCTCTGCTCTGTGAGCTCTGACTTTCCCACCTGCCACGTTCCTCAGCCCCCCAGCCCTGCTCAGCCCCCAAGGGATTTGGGAACAAACTGCCCTGTTCTCACCCAGGGGCTCATCAGGGCCCGTGGGAACGTGGGGAAGGCCTGAGAGGCAGATGGGAAGTGTTTTTTTTTTCCCTCCTGCTCTTTGAAATGGGCTTAAAAAAGGGAATGCAGAGGACTTAAATAAACAGAACCGTTCTGTGCCTGCGTGTGGTGGCAGGAAGGGATTCCCAGGAGCAGGGAATGGGTGGTGGTGGCTGTGGGAGCCCTCGGGGGTCCCTGACATGCTGAGCACAGGGAGGTGCCTCCCAGAGATGGGGCAGCCATTGGAGAGGACCCTTGATGGCAGCTCCCTCAGACCCAGCCCCTGCCACCAGCGCAGGGTGATCAGTGAACCTCCCTGACCAGCGTGGCCATTCCTGCTCTCCAGGCTGGACACCCCCAGCTCCCTCAGCTGCTCCTGCTCACACTTGTGCTCCAGCCCCTTCCCCAGCCCCGTTGCCCTTCCCTGGAGAACAGGACGAGAGGAGCTGCCAGCCAAGCCCACCTGCAGCCACCAAGCAGCAGCTCCCCTGGAACACTGAGGCAGAGGAGGGAGGAATCCACCCTGGGTAGAACAGTGAGAGTCACGGAGTTGCTGGGTTGGAAGGGACCTCTGAGATCATCCAGTCCAACCCCCCTGCCAGAGCAGGGTCACCTACAGTAGATCCCACTGGAACATGTCCAGATGGGTTGGGAATGTCTCCAGAGAAGGAGACTCCACAGCCTCCCTGGGCAGCCTGTCCCAGGGCTCTGTCACCCTCACAGGAAAGAAGTTTCTCCTTCTGTTTAACTTGACCCTCCTGTGCTCCAGTTTGTGCCCACTGCCCCTTGTCCTGTCACTGGGCACTGCTGAGAAGAGTCTGGTCCCACCCTCCTGACACCCCCTGAAGATGTTGATAAGGGTTGATGAGATTCCCCCCTCACCCTCCTTTTCTCCAGGCTGAACAGCCCCAGCTCCCCCAGCCTTTCCCCATGGGAAGATGCTCCATCCCTCCCATCATCTGGGTGGCCTGTGCTGTGTCCTGCACCTCCAGCCTCCCCCCCAAGGGATGAACCCCCAGCCCCATCAACTCCCACCCCCAAAAGCTCAGCAGGCAGCCAGCAGGGTGGAGGGATTGGTTTTTATTTCAAAAGACAGTAAGACAATGTTTTCCATTTAGTATCAAAACACTGGACAGGGCTCTTTGCTCCACGTTGGCCCCTTCAAGCTGCTCCCACCAAGCAAGAAGCTCCAGCACCAGCTTCACCCCACACATCTCCACGCTCACACCTCACAACAACAACACCTCAGCAATGCACACAAGGTGGCTTGGACCTCAGTGAGACACCAAGAGCAGCCCTGGCCATGGAGGGGAGGCCACGGGTCCCTCCTTCAGGGTAGGCAAAAATAAAGCCCCCCAACCTCCCCAGGAAGAGGCTGTTGGGTCGAAGCTGTGAAGGGGAAGCCAGTGATGAGAGACAAAGCTTGATGCACCAGCAGGGAGTGAAGGCAAATTCAGCCCCGGGGTAGCAAAGGGGTTAGAGGGGCTGTGGCTTCTCTAAACCTACCAGGACATGGCCAAGAGGGAGTGGGGGGGAAGGGGAAAAACCCCTGTGAAGGTTCAATTGTTCAGAGAACAGGCTTTAATTGAGAATTGGCTGTAACTAAAATAAAAAGTGTCTCCCTTTGCTCAAGTTGCTTCAGCACAAGTTACCCTAAAGCTGCAAAACTGAACTGCTCTTTTGGCAACCAGCTCCTGGGCAAGGGAGTCTTCCCAACAGGGTCCCAGTCCCTAACCTGGCTACTCCAGTTCAGTAGCCCAGAGCCAGGGACTGTCACCCTCTCCTACCTCCCCTGCCACAGCAGGGGGGGCCCAGAGCCCCTTACCAGAAGGTTGACACCAAATTTTAAAGCCATGAGCTTTGAAGTGCAGTTCCCCAGCCTCAAGAGTTATTTGGAATGTTCACCAGAACAAAGCCAAGGTGGCTACAAAGTGCAGACACCTCAAACATGCTCCCCAGCCATGATTATTGCATTGATTATTTCCCTTAATGATGCTGTTTGAAGCTCTGGCCCAACCCGGTGGCCTTTAACCCTGAGGCGAAGGAGAAGGTTTGTGTTTGGTCAAGTTGGCAACAGAAAAAGTCAAGTCTGGTTCCCCCAGGGTTAGAGGGCAGCAGGGACCCCGGGGGGGGTGGCAGGGGTGGGGATCCCTCACATCTCGTTCAGGTCTAGCAGGGTCTGGTCCAGCATTCGTTGCGTGCAGAGATGCTCCTCTTTGGTGGATTTCAGCTTATCTGGCAGGAAGCAAGAGTGGAGAGTTACAAGTCACCCCTAGACCCCCCAGGAACCTCGGCCAGGAAAAGCTCCCACCAGCCCCAGCCCAGCAGGCAGCAGGTCCTCAGGGGGGTGCCTGGCTGGTTGCAGCAAGAAGCTCTGGAGTTCCCTGGCTCAGGTGCAGCCCTGGTGGGGGCCCCAGGGGCTGCCAGGCAGTGGTTTGCATGCAGGTGCCTCCAACCACAGCCCCCCCAGGGCTCCCCACACCCAGCCAGCCACCCCCACGGCCCAGCAAGGCCCCCCAGAGCAACGCAGAGGTGAAACACACTGGGAAACCAGCCCCTGGAATTACAGTTGAATGTGATCCCCCTCCCAGGATAGGACAGAGAGGCCAAGCTGGTCACCAGGATGGTCACCCCCAGCAGCAGGGAGCAGCCAACGTGGCTCAGGAGAGCAGGAAGGGGCTGTTCTCAGTGAGGGGCAGGCAGGGAGCACACAGGGACCAGGGGCTGCAGCTCTGCCCGAGCCCACAGGTAGTTCTCACATGTTCCTTAAGCCAGGAGGAGAGCTCAGAGCAGCCACCAGCACTCTAGGTGGGCTTTACTCCATAGGTCAGCCCACCCATGTCACTGAAGACATTCACACGCTGGGCAGGGTAGCCAGGCTGTAGAAAGATGTCCTTTAGGAACAGGCAGTTTCCCAAAGTCACTCCCCAGCCCCCCCAGGGTCAGGAATTGTGCACAGAGCCAGGAGCAGCCCTCCCAGAGCTCCAGAATTGCAGCCTTCAAAGATCCCCTGCAGAAGCTCAAGACACAGCTCCATGCTGAGGATTTTTGGGATTTGCTTTCACCATGTCCAGGAGCTTTCCCAAGTGGTGCTGGGGCTCAGCAGCCCTGCCAGGACCAGGCCCCAGGAACAACCACTTCCCCCAAACCTTCTTTCTGCGCTTGACCACAGAAGGTTCCAGCTCAACATGAAGAACTTCTCTCCTGTGAGGGTTACAGACCCTGGGATAGGCTCCCCAGAGAGGCTGGAAGTCTCCAGAGAAGGAGACTCTACAAGATCTGTCTGGATGCCTTTCTGAGCAACCTGCCCTGGTTTTTTTGGTCCTGCTCTGGCAGGGGGGCTGGGCGCAACGATCTTTGAAGATCCCTTCCAACCCCTAATATTCTGTGATTCTAGGTTAGGACTCAACTACACAGGCAAGTACCCCAGGTGTGCAGTGTCTTACAGACCAGGTCAGTCAGTGATTGCCAGGACCCATCACTCCAAGCAGCAGGAGATCCCACAGTCACTCAGCTCACAGTAAATTAGGTTGTAGGGCTTGGACAGGCAACCTCCAGCAGCCACAAGCCCCTGGTGGGTGCAGCCACTCCCCACAGAGCCTGGAGCCCCTGGCCAAGTGAGCAAGGCTGCTCCAGGAACAGCCCCCCCACGGGTTTCACCCCCAAGGACAAAACAAGTGCTCACACTCTGAGGTCAGAGGGTGAATTCAGGTGCCCCATGAAGTGGCAGCAACTGCGTTAAACCCCCAAGTCTGCCCAGTCGTGAGGATGAGCAGGTTTGTCTCTGGTCCCCAGCTCTGGTGGGGGCTCTAAGCTTGTTTAATAGCATTTAAATGCCCCCCTCCCCAGTCACCCAGATCATGCAGTGTTAAGTCCAGCTCAGAGAGGGCAGGTGGGTTTTCTCAGGGGCTGGACAGACACCATGGCAGCAGCAGGATTAGGGGAGACAAGGGGGACAGAAAGGGAAGGTTAGAAGGACACCAGGATGAGAACATCACACCTGCTGTCCCCACATGAGGTCTGGGTTACAGCACAGGGGGAGCTGGGGAGAAGAAAGGCTTGTCTGACTCTTTAACTTGCATTTCAGGTCAGGAAGATGACAGGAAAGCCAAGTGCAGGCAGAAATGAGGGGCTGCCAAGGGCTTGTGAAGGCAAAGGCAGGCAGAGGAGACCCAAAGAAAAGCCTACAGGCTGGGCTGGGCTCTGCCTGGGGAAGGAGAGAGGTTTGGGGTGTCCTTTAAGCCTGTGGAGCAGGTTGCAGAAAGCAGCAGTCCTATCATAGCTGAACCAGAGGCACCTTCCAGAGAGAGCCCCACCACAGAGTGGGATTGATGGGGCTTTAACAGTAGGACAGAAGAACTGGGAATGGCAGCATCTCCCACCTGACCTGCAGGACACTCCTCCAAGGAGGTGTCTTTGTGCCACACTAACAGCCCATCAAGTCCAGACAGGGCTGAAGGCAGGATCTGCTTCGTGTAGAGGACAGAGGACCTGGAGCACTGGCTCCTCTTCTGTGTCTGCCCAGGCCAACCCAAGGAGGGGCACAAGCTGCCTCTGCATCTCCCAGCCTCACCTCCCACCCTCCTGTCCCCACAGCCTCCCAGGCCTCCAGGGGCTCCACTCATGCCCAAGGTGGTACCAACCACACATGCTCAGCAGCAGCTCCAGGGAAAGGCAGGGCCAGGCTGCTCCTGACCCAGGACAGGTCACCCCTGGGGCTGGATGGTCACAACCAGCCACTGCAGAGAACCAGTTCAGCATCTATCACTGCCCATCCACACAGGCAAGGTCCTCCAGGTCTGACAACTCCAATCCCTGCATCTAGGGAGAATTTCCAGGCAGTGGAAAATCCTTCTCCAACAACTCCCAGCCCAGCAGGACTAAAAACCAACCAGAAACCCAGTCTGCCTGACAGGCAAGTGTGGAGCACAGAAACTCCTGCTGCTCTTGGGCTCCTTCTCAAATCCTTGTACCACAAGATCCTTGGGAACCCAGGGCCCCTCTGAGGGGATCTGCACCTTTCTCCTGCTTTCAGCTTGAGAATATTTTGCTCTTGAACAAGCCCTGGCTGGGTAAGGCTCGTGGCAGAGTCAAGCTGCCCACAAGGAGCAGCCAAGGCATGTCCCCCTCTCCTGAGGGTCTCAGCCCATCCCTCCAGGTGATGGGAAGCTCACACCTCCCCCCAGCACCCACTCCAGCTGCACTTCACTCTGCAGGACAGAGTAATGCTCATTATTGTCCCTTCTCTAAAGCCACCAAGGGACAAAGAACCAGCCAGAAAAGCCAACGACTTCAATCTAACTAGAAGTTGAGGGACCTTGTGGTGTGGGGGCAGATACACCCCACCCTGGCCTACACCAGAGCCCACCTTGCACTCCAGCTACTACAGACTTGCTCCACCTGCCCAGCAGGCAGGATGGAGCCCCTGATGCCCATCTCCTGCCCCAGGGCTGCTCCTGGGTCTCCAGAGTGGCAGAGGATGGGAGGGAACTGCAGAGAGAAGCACCAGGGGCTGGTACACCAGCTTCAGGCTTGTGGCCAGGGACCTGATGATCCTGGCACAGGAGGGAGCAGATGATCTGCAGGGATTAGCATGACCCTTCCTAGGCCTGAGGAACAGCACAGAACACTTGGCCAGGTCAGCTGGGGCCAGCTCCCTTCTCCACCCAGCCCACAGGCCAGCCTTCCCAGCTGCCCACAAAGCCAGGAGCTCCAGGCCCTGTGCCTCCTGGTCAGCTAATCCACATTCCCAGCACCCCTGAGTCAACAGCCCAGCTGGTGGTAACCAGCCTGCACAAGCCCAGCAATCCAGTCAGACCTGCAGCCTCTCCACACCTCCCAAGGCAGGAGTTGCATCACCCACCCACCCAACCATCCACCACCCAGCATGGAGTTTCATGAGGATGAGCAGGGAAAGCTCCTGGCCCGGCCCAGCCTTTGATAACATCACTTGCAACAGCAAAGCCACCAGCTCCACATGGTGCCACCCAGTGACAGGACCTCCCTGTGGAGAGAGGGGCTGTTTCACAAGGGCAGGGAGGCACCTCCACCTGGGAAGAGCTGGGAATGAAAGGCTGGGCTGGAAACCTTCACACCTCCAGACACTGGTGACAGAAACCCCATTCCCTACCTCAGACCCTCCTCCAGCTGCAGGTTTGCTCCTGAGAAGTTCTGGATCCTTGTTTGGTGCTTGCAGGGCACAGAGCTCCTGCCCCAAATCCCAGGAGAGTCAGACCATCATCTGCCAGAGCTTCCCAAGCTTGAAAATTCCCAGTGGGAATGGTTCCTCCTTCCCAATCCAGACCCAACAGGGAGGATCCCGCCCTGTCAGGGCTTCCCAAGCTTGAAAACTCCTGGTGGGAATGGTTCCTCCTTCCCTACCCAGACCCAGCAGAGAAGATCCCTGACAGAGAAGACAGAGTGAGGACAGGCTGGGGCAGTTTGGGGTGTCTGGACCATCCTGACCACTCGTGCTGTTGTGCAGAGAACAGAGTGACACAAACCTGAGGGAACCACGGGAGATGTCCCAGCTCATCAGGGCTCTGCTCACGAAGGGCTCTCCGGGCACTGGGGCAGAGGAATCAACCCAGAAAGGAAAGACCATTTGCCAAACCACCCCAAGAGGCCGAGCAGTGTTTGTGGTACCAGTGCCAGGCTCAGTCCAGCAGTGACACACAGTGAGTGCCCAGTGCAAGGCTCCATGCCACGTTCCCAGGAGGATCCCAGCACCCTCAGCCTCTGCACTGGGAGGGGAGGACTCTGCAAACCTCACCCCCCAGGCTGGGATGCCCACAGCCCTCCTGAAGCAAGAGGCCAGACACCCCCAGGCAGCACCTGGCACCCAACTGGAAATCACCCAGAGCTCAGTGGATGTTTCTTGCCTTTCACACCCTGGCAGTGCCCCAGTGACCAGCCAGTGAGGTGACTTCCCACTGCAAGCACGTGTGGAGTGTCCCCCAGACAGGCACAGCTCCAGCCCTCCCTGCTGCACACCCCAACCTCCCCTTCACCCCCAACAAGCTGCTGAGGCACCAGCCACATCTGTGAGCCCAGGAGGCACAAAAGGGGAAACCCAGGAGGCTGATGAAGTCTGTGGGTTCCCCTGAGGGCCAGGAGGGTGACACTGCTTTGGAACAGCTACTCTACAGCAGCAAGTGGTCACTAGAAACCCCTTTCTCCAAAGCACCAGCTGCTTCATTCCATTGATACAAGAGTTGTTTTCCTTAAACAACAACAAAAAAAAAAAGTGACATCATGCTCAAGCAAGAGGCAAGAGAAATACAAAAGGAGCTTTATGACTCTACACAAGATATGCAGATGAGAACAACACTCTCCCAGCTCCACCCAGCCATGGAAGGGGCAGCTCCTCAGAGCTCAGCAGTGTCTGGCACCTCAGGTCAGACAGAGGGAGCTTTGTTTGGGAGCAAGTGCAGCAGGACCAGGGGTGGCTGCTGCTGTCAAGCTCCAGCATCTCTACAGGACTCATTCCCAGGGATGCTCTGGGCACAGGGGCTGGGGAGAGGTTCTGGAATTCAGCCTGAGATGAGGAGAGCACAAGTGCAGGGTGCAGGTGCAGAATAAGCCACCAAGCAGGAGGCAAATCCAAAGTGGAGTTTGGAATCGCAAGACTTATCTGTGTGAGACAGAAGGAGACACTAATTTTAAGAGAAGCTGGAGTGTGAGGGCACAGCAAAGGCTGCTCAGGGAGCTCTGGGGTGCTGCTGTTAAGGCTGCTCCTCAGCAATGCAAGGATCTGGCATCTCCTTGGTTAGTGTGAGGACTGTGCACAGCAGCTGTTAGCAGAACCCCCCCCAGATGCCCACAAAAAGCCAAGTAGCAAAGTTGCAGGAACAGGAATTCAGCTACTTCCACAGATCAGTTCATGATCCAGCCCATCTCACAGCAATTCCCAAGGAAACCACTCGAGCACTATCCACTGCCTCTTCCAGGAGGAATCCCGAGGCCATGGCCCAGTGGCCCCAGCAGGCAGCTAAGCCACATCTCGTTAGGAAGCCTTTCCCAGTGGGAATTGTACTCAGAGTTCAGGTCAGAAGCCTGTGAGGGCAGCACAGCACTTGGTGTCACACATGCAGACCACAAGGCCCAGAGTTAGAGGACAACATGCTGCAGGGAGCCTCTCCACCCTCCAGGCAGAGATCTGAGGAAGTAACCTGGGTAACACACAGAGCCACTGGTTCTCAACTAGGAACACCCCAGCACACCAAGCAAGCCCTGGCAGCCCAGGCTGCCCAAGCGAGAGGCAAACACCAGCCAGCTCATATTTACATGGAAGTCATGTCATTCAGGGCGTGGTCCAGTTCCTCACTAATTGCTTTGTACTTCAGTTTCTGGGCATAGAGCTCATCTAGAAGAGGTTTAGGAGGAGAACAAAAGGGAAACAATGAGGGAAGGCAGAGGAGTTCTTCTAACAGCCTGGGGCAGGAGAAGCAGTATGGGACTCCTGAACAGAAGAAAATGAAGCTGGATATGGAGCCACCACAGCTCCCTGTCAGCTCCTGATGATGGACATGAGGGCTCTGACAGCCTAAAGACAGCCTGACCAGCAAGTGCCTTCCAGGACTACAAGCCAGCTCTGAGGAGAGCAGAGCCAAGAACTCAAACCACATCAGCTTGTGGGAACAAGCTGCCCAGCTGGGTCAGCAAGAACCACCGACAGGAAGAGCAGCAGGGAGGGGCAACTACATCCACTTCGGGAGGAGCTTTGCTGCACCCAAGGCAGGCACAGATCAACTGGGAAGCTTTGTTCCCACCTTCTGTCTCAATACAAAAACCTGCCTGGGAAAGGTCAGCCACATCATTAAATCCTGGGCATCAAAGGGAATTCCCACCCTGTAGGACATGGCTAGAAAGGCTGAGCTGAAACTTGTGTTCTCCATCAGATAACAGAGCAGGAGGGCAGATCAGGGGAGGAGGCAGCTCTCAAGCTCATGTTGATGCCCTCCTGAGTGCTCTGCAGAGCTGGCACAGACCTCTCCCAGCTCTGGCTGCCCAGGCCAGCTGGTGATGTTGTTAACAGCTTCACGGAGCCCAAAGAACTTTGTCACTTGTCATAAACTAGGTCACTTCAGCAGCAAGGCTGGAGACCAGAGCCAACTCCCCATCAACGTGTTTCAAGAGGAGCATGCAGGGACTTGGAGGAATTTTTGCAGTTCCCAAATAAAAGCTTGTCCTGGATCATGAGGTGGCTCAGATTGCTGCTTGGCAGCAGCTCTGGAACAGCTCAGCTGACACCATTGCTATTTCTAGATAAAAACCCTCCGGAGTGACTCCAGATGGTAGGATGTGGCTTTGAGTCTCCAAGACCTGGCACCAAAAGATGACAAAGGCACATGCTGGGGTGGAGGCAGGAGGCCTGCAAGAGTTCTGGTTTACCAGCACCACCACTCCAGCCACAGCTCTCCACAGAAGAATTTGGCCACAGGCCCAGATGTGAGGGAGGCAGTTGGAACCTTCCCCTGCTAGAGCTTGGGGAAAGGCAGGATCCTGTGCTGGTTGGTGTCAGGAGAGCTCCTGTGAAACCAGGGGCAGGAGGAGGCAAGGAACCCATGCTTGGCACAGGCAGAGCACCCCACTGCATGGATGGGGCTGCTAGTGACGGTATCTTGAACTAGGACCCACACTGGTTAGTCCTAAATCTTCCTGGGGGCTGTCTCAGGACTGAAGACTGTGGTTGCAGCAGGACTTTCTGCAGCAGAGCCCCACCATGAGATTCTCCACTCAGGTGTGTTACTGCAACCAATTCCTCTTGGGTTCAGGCCCTTTTATCCTTAAATGGGGTGAAGCAGGAGAGCAGGAATCCAGTTACATTCCTGAGGACATCACAACTGAGATACCAGCTGTGCTATCTGTGTCCATCAGGCAGATATGGCAAGGAGTTTGGATCAGGAGCCCATGGCCTGTCACAGCACAGCCAGGGAACACCTCCTGGAGCAGATACATGGGGTCAAGCCCAGGGGCACCATCCCCACCCTGCAAGCAGGGTTAGGTCACACTTCAAGCACTGAGGAGCAGAGTCTCCACTCTCCAGCTACCTGGGACACAGCCTTCCTCAGCTCCCTCACCACCTATTCTTTGGCTTTCCATCCCCAGAACATACCTTCCAAATCATCAATAGTCTTCTCCAGCTTGGCCACAGACCGCTCGGCAAACTCGGCGCGGGTCTCTGCCTGCAGGGCAGAGGGAGCCAGTCAGGACAACTGGGATTGCAGGGACCACTGGCCTGAGGACATCAAGTCTCCCACCCCCCTCAGGCTGAGGCCACCCCACCCATCCCAACACGGCCACTCACTTCTTTGAGTTTATCAGTCAGGATCTTGATCTCTTCTTCATATTTATCCTCTTTTTGGGAGTACTGTGGAAAAGCAGAGGAGTCAGCAACCAGCAGCCCCAAGTATCTCCTACTCCAGGGAGGCCACAGAGAGACCTCAGCTCCTCCCTGCACTGAGCAGATGCCTTCAGGAATTCCCAACTCTAGTCCAACACAACTGGGTCAAGCACAAAGTCCCACCTCATGCAGACAACACAAACATGGGCACAGAAAAGTTCTCATCCCAGCAGCAGCAACAACTTGGCTGCTCAAACCTGCCCCGAGGCAGGGCAGGGCAACCAGACCTTCCTCTCTCCCAGCATCAGTCTCGTGCTGGGACCAGGTAGCTGTCCCTGCTTGCTTAAGGCTGTGTTGCACCATCTCCAGCCCAGTGGGTCCTCGGCTGCCACGCACCCTCCGAGTACCCCAGAAATGTTTCTGGCCCTTGGACAAGCAGCCCTACCTTCTCAGCCTGAGCCTCAAGAGACTTGAGATTGTTGGTGACATTCTTCAGCTCTTCTTCCAGCTCGGAACATTTACTGTGGGGTTTGGCAAAGAAAGGAGGGGAGAGAAAAAGGAACAGAAGAAGTGGGAGGGAAAGACAGGAGAGATGAGAAGTGAATCCATGTGCAGGGAAGACCAGGAAGAGCTTTTTTAGGAGATGATCTGTGAGCAGACTGGATGGGACCCTGTTTTCAGGCACTTGTGCTGAAAACAAGTTCCCTTCCCACCTCCAAGCTGCTATTTTTGGTGTTCTGCCAGCACATGCACAGGGCACTGAGCTGAGCAGCCAGATGTGGACAGAGGTTTCTGCTGGCCCTGGAGTCTCCGAGTAGAAGCTGCAGGTTCAGGTTGTTGTAAGGAGGGAACATTTATGGGCAGAGAGGACAGAACGTTCCAGGAGAGAGGAAGATGCAGTTGAGCTGAGGGAAGGAGCGTAGCTAGAAGCCCACAGGAGTTCTGGTTTAATGTTTGAGAAAGGAAAGGTTAGTACCTTCTCTTCAGCAACAGACAGACACCTCAAGTTCTGGTCCATCACTCTGATCTGCTCCTGCAGCTCCCGGCAACGCCTGTTAGTGACGGTCACACGATGGCACAAGCCAGGTGGGGACAAGGGTCAAAAGGAGCACCAAGAACACCACACCACGGGGCAAAAATGGGGGCAGGGGAAAAACACAGAGAAGTCATGGTCACGACATGCACATCTGGGCAGGAAGCACTGAGCTGCTGCTGCTGCTGCACACGCCAGCTTTGTTAGACAAGGCCAGAGCACAGAGAGGCCCTGACCAGCTCCCCAGCTGTTCCTCAGCTACAGCACCCAGATAGGATTAAAGGAGACCAAACTCCACCATTTGTGTCTGCTCCCAGCAGTGGAAGCTCAGCTTGCTGCTTGGCAGTGCTTGCAGTGGTTACTGCAGATATTTTAAGAGAGCAGAGGCCAACCTCAGCCCAGTTCTGCCCTTGGACATCCGACCTGCAGGTCCCCACCCAGGAGGCCTCTGCCACTTGGGGACAAGCCTGTGCACTCGTGTGCCCCACAGCAACGTGTCAGGACCCAGTGACTACACACACAAAGCAGTGCTGGTGAATCCCAAGGGGAGAACAACTCTCCAGCCCCACTAACTCAGGAGTCCCCTCATGCCAAGGGGCAGAACATCTCCACCACAAGGTAAAGCATGTCCTCTAACTCCACATCCTCAGTGGACCTAATCCCATGATGAGCAGGAAAGTGCTTCCAGCTTCTTCATCTGATGTTCTAACCCCCCGCTGTGCTTCAGGCCTTGTGTAACAAGGTTAGAAATGCTGTGTTAGTTCCCATGCAGAGGTGGACATGCCAGTGAGATGCCAGCAGATTACTCACGACTCTGCAAGCTCAGCTCTCTCTTCAGTACGTTCCAGATCCCCTTCTATGATCACCAGTTTCCGAGCAACCTGGAAGGAAGAGCTGGAGTTCAGAGGAAGAAAGATAATTTTGTACTTGTGGGCTGTGCAAGACAGCAAAGGCAGGAGTCACTGGTGCTGCCAGGGTCTTCTGGCTGAGGAGAAGAGCTGCTGCCAGGCTCTTCCCCCAGGTTTGCTGAGGAAAGCTTTGTCAGGGGCAAGAGAAGCTGCCTCTCCTGGCCAGCAGGACTGGAGCGCCTAAGGGTCTCACCTCCTCATACTTCCTATCCGCCTCCTCTGCAATGTGCTTGGCTTCCTTCAGCTGGATCTCCTGCAGTTCCATCTTCTCCTCATCCTTCAGAGCTCGGTTTTCAATGACTTTCATGCCTCTGCCCAAAGGAAAGCACAGGGAGGGGGGATGTATCAAACACTCCTGTGCAAACCAGAGGTGTCACGAGTTCCAGAGCATGAACAGTGCTCCCCTGGGACCCTGCTGCTTCCTCAGGAGCCACCAACACCTCCCAGTGCAGGGGGAAGCACAAGAAGGCAGACATTGTTGGGCTGTTGCAAACACAGTCTCCACTGCTGGGAATTAAGTGTTCTTGAATTGTTGCTCCAGCAGCTCATCAGGCTCCTGGACCAAGGGAAATGTGGTGCTGCTGAGGGGAACAAGCCAGGCTGGCTCAGGGACTCTCTGCACAGCCAAGCCAAGCACTTCCCAGGCTGAAATGCAGGAAGATCCCAGTCAGTGTCTGTGGCAGGACATGAGCTGGGTCAGGCTGCTCACTACAGTGTGTGCTCTGATGAAACTCATCAGCCAGCTAGAAGTGCACCACTCCCTTCTGAGTCAGTCCAGGTCAGAGGACAGTGCCAGCAGGGAGGATGCTGGCAGAGGCAGCAGGAAGAGTGGCTTCCCCACCAGCAGACACCTTTGCAACTCAGAGGTGGCCCAGAATTCCCTTATTTTGATTCTATTGATCTTCCCTGGGTGTTCCTGTTGCTGCAGGGGCGTTGGACTTAATGATCTTCAGAGCTCCCTTCCAAGCCCTGTGATTCTACTCAATGATTTCTCCTCCCTTGGGGGTGGGGATGCATGGCAGCACACAGCACTCACTCCTTAGCCTCAGGTTCCAAGACACTCAAGGCCAACAGCCCAATTTTGTTTGCTCTGCAGAGCAGGTACCAACTCCCACATCCCGCCTTGATATGGTTTCTACTTCCCACCCTCCAGGAAGCCCAAGAGGTCGATGGCACCAGGCCCTGAGTCAGGAACACAACTGAGAAGGCTGACAGAGTAAGAGGAGCAGCCCTTGCTCACCTTTCACTTTCATCTGCAGCCTTCTCTGCCTCTTCCAGCTTCTGCAGCGCCGTGGCCAGGCGCTCCTGGGCTCGGTCTAACTCCTCCTCCACCAGCTGGATTCGGCGATTCAGAGATGCCACCTCTGCCTCAGCCTGGAGGGACCAAGGGGGGTGACTCAGTCTGGGGCAGGTTTAGCAGCCCAGATGTGCCTGCAGCTCAGCAGCAGCACACGGGGAGCCAGCCCAGACCAGGGGGCTTCACCCACTTCCCAGGGGGCCCCGTTGGCCGGGCAGCGCTTCACACACACCTGCCTTGTCCTGCAGGTTCCCTGCCAGCTCAAGCTGATGTGACAGCTGAAGCCATAAACACTGAGCAGATGACTTACACTAATGGCTCTTCTCTGCAGCTGCTGAAATCCTGCCAGCCCATCAATCACAGCCCTGTTTATCCCCCACACCAGCACTTGGTGACAGCGACCGTTTAGCACACAGGCAGTTTGCTCATGAGATCTGGACACCAGCAGTGCTTGAAACGAGCCCTCTCCTCAGCAACATGGGGAAGATTAAGAGGTTCAGGAGTGTGCTGAGCTGTGGCAGGGCTCTGGCAGACCAGGCCTCCCCTCAGCACTGCCCAGTGCCACAACCCCAGCTGGGCTCTGCGCTTCCTTCCTCCCACCGACTCATCAAGAGAACAGAGAAAGAGCAAAAAGCCTCACCCAGTCTTGAGACAGCTCGAGGAGGCTGTTTCCCAGCAACAGCCTCACACAAACATCCTCCTCAGCTCAGCCAGAGGTGCCAGGAGCAGGGTGAGATGGCCCCGAGCCCCCAGGCACCGAGCCCCCAGGCACCGTGTGCTTGCCACAAGTGTCACCACAAAAATGACCCAGGCTTTAATGACCCAGCAGAGATCAGAAACCATGACACCCCCGGGCAGGCCTGGTACAGCAGCACTGCCAGGAACCACCAACCCCCACCACAGCCTGGTGAGAGCCCAGACACTCTGGAGACACTCAGGCCCCACATGAGCCACCTTGGGGCATCCCAGTGTCCTGCTCTCCAGCAGGATGGCTGTGCTGGAGCCAAGATGGATGGGGCTGCAGCCATTTCAGGGCAGCCCTGTGATCTTCTGCAGAGACCCAGGTGCAGACACATGCCAGGCATATATGAAATATCCCAACTACTTGCAACAAAGCAGCCTGCAAGGACATGCTGCTTCTACCCATGCCCAAGGAAGGAGGAGCAGAGCAATGAAAGAAGCCAGTGTTAGACCAGGGCCCAACACAAACCAGGGCGAGTTCCCAGGAGGCTGCCCAGGCTCTTCCCCCATGTTGGCAGCAGGGTGCTCAGCACCCCTATTTCAAGACCAGGTTGTGAGAACCCAAGCTGCAGAGGAGCTGTCCCACCAGCACACCCTGCTCTTCACCAGGGAAACCCACAACACCCCCCGTGCTCCAACAAGAGCTGCCCCAGCAGCAGCCCCCGCAGCAGCTTCCTCCGGAGGGGGAAGTGGTCTGCTCAGAGAGGAACAAAACCACAATAAACACCACGGGAAGGAGCCTGCTCATCACACACAACTTTTGCCTATCAAAGAGGCACAAACAGGCAAGTTGGAGAACCTCCTCCTTCTCCCAGGGGATGGGGACACACCAGCACAGCAAGACTCATTTCCTGACCCCTGAACCACAGCCCTGACTTCCTGTGAGCAGCACTTGACCCACCCAAAAAACCACTCCAGCTTGTAAAGAACTGCCTCCTTCTCTGCAGGAGAGCCCTTATACCTTCCCCCTCCTCCTGCTCCTCCTCCCTGGATACAGCTGAAGAAGACAGGCTTCCCAGGGGCACGGGGTGTCACTTCCAGTGGCTCATTCCCATTACTCCACACTTCCTTCAGGAAGGCAGCTCTGAGTCAAGGAGCTACCAGGAGTCCTGCAAGCCAAGGGCAGAGCTCACCTCGACCCTGGAGGCTTTCCATCACCTCCCCAGGCCACAGAGATCTAGCAGGGATAGTCCTCCAGACCCAAGGGACAGACCACAGGGTGAGGCCAAGACCTCCCCATGCTGGGAGCACTGGTTGTCTCCGCTGTGAAGAGGCTCCAGCGAGCTGGGAGAAACACACATCCCCATGGCAACGCTGCTCTTGCAAGAGAATTCCTTATGTGGCTGCAAACGAAGCGCCCAGCTGAGGTCTGGGAGTGGCCTCTCACTGCACACCAGCAGCTTCTGCCACCAGCCCTGGCAGCAAAGCCCAACAGGTCCTGGAGCAGTGACATCAGGACACTTGTTACAGCCTCCAGACTTAGGCACAGGGTGGGAGAGCCTGAGGTTCACATTGAACAGAATCAGCAGCAAAGTCACTGAGCAGATTTGTGGAGAGTCAGTTTGGTACAAGGCAGTCACCTGTGGTGACCTGCCCCGTGTCACCCCATCTAGTGTCCCCTGGATGCCACCAGCCTCCCTGGGCTGATGGAGCTGTGAGAGCAGAGACCCACCAGTTCAGATGGTCACAGAATTATGAAACAGCTTGGGTTGGAAGGGGCCTCAGAGCTCCTCCAGTCCCACCCCCTGCATGGGCAGGGACCCCTCCCAGCAGCCCAGGCTGCTCCAAGCCCCATCCAACCTGCCCTTCAACACCCCCAGGGATGGGGCAGCCACAGCTTCCCTGGGCAACCTGGCCCAGGCTCTCCCCACCCTCACACTCCACAATTCCCTCCTCAGCTCCAACCTCCAGCTCCCTCTCCCACTTTTCATCCCTCCCCCTCATCCCATCCCTCCCTGCCCTTGGCCCAAGTCCCTCCCCAGCTTTCCTGGAGCCCCTTCAGGCACTGGAAGCTGCTCTAAGGTCTCCCTGGAGCCTTCTCTTCTCCATGTTGAACAAACCCAATCCCCTCAGCCTGCCTTCTGCTCTGGTTGCTCCTGGTTTCCATCCCTCCAAGCAGCCCGTGCCTGCCCCCAGCACAAGGGGCTGCACGTCGGGGCAGCCCGTCCCCGGGCAGGGCCATCCCCACGGGATCCCGGCAGGATGCAGCGCTGGGGAGTTTTCCACTCGGCCCCTGCCCCGGCAGCATCACGGGTGAGATCACTTCCATTTTATCAGCACACGCCAAGGCCGCTCGCACCTGCACCGGGACCTGCCCCACGGGGGGCTGGGGGCACCGGGACCTGCCCCACGGGGGGCTGGGGGCACCGGGACCTGCCCCACGGGGCTTTGGGAGCACCGGGACCTGCCCCACGGGGCTTTGGGGGCACCGGGACCTGCCCCACGGGGGGCTGGGGGCACCGGGACCTGCCCCACGGGGCTTTGGGAGCACCGGGACCTGCCCCACGGGGCTTTGGGGGCACCGGGACCTGCCCCACGGGGGGCTGGGGGCACCGGGACCTGCCCCACGGGGCTTTGGGAGCACCGGGACCTGCCCCACGGGGCTTTGGGGGCACCGGGACCTGCCCCACGGGGGGCTGGGGGCACCGGGACCTGCCCCACGGGGCTTTGGGAGCACCGGGACCTGCCCCACGGGGCTTTGGGGGCACCGGGACCTGCCCCACGGGGGGCTGGGGGCACCGGGACCTGCCCCACGGGGCTTTGGGAGCACCGGGACCTGCCCCACGGGGCTTTGGGGGCACCGGGACCTGCCCCACGGGGGGCTGGGGGCACCGGGACCTGCCCCACGGGGCTTTGGGAGCACCGGGACCTGCCCCACGGGGCTTTGGGGGCACCGGGACCTGCCCCACGGGGGGCTGGGGGCACCGGGACCTGCCCCACGGGGCTTTGGGGGCACCGGGACCTGCCCCACGGGGGGCTGGGGGCACCGGGACCTGCCCCACGGGGGGCTGGGGGCACCGGGACCTGCCCCACGGGGGGCTGGGGGCACCGGGACCTGCCCCACGGGGGGCTGGGGGCACCGGGACCTGCCCCACGGGGGGCTGGGGGCACCGGGACCTGCCCCACGGGGGGCTGGGGGCACCGGGACCTGCCCCACGGGGCTTTGGGAGCACCGGGACCTGCCCCACGGGGCTTTGGGGGCACCGGGACCTGCCCCACGGGGGGCTGGGGGCACCGGGACCTGCCCCACGGGGGGCTGGGGGCACCGGGACCTGCCCCACGGGGCTTTGGGAGCACCGGGACCTGCCCCACGGGTGGTTGCAGGCATCAAGATCTGCCTCAAGGGCTGCCTGGGGCACCAGGACTTGCCCCACGGGGGACTGGGGGCACAGGGACCTTCCTCATGTGGATGTGGGAACAATGGGACCTTCCCCATGTGGGTAGGGGGACAACAGGGTCTGCCCCATGTGGGTGTGGGGACACCGGGGTGTGCACCATGTAGGTGTGGGGACACGGGGACCTGCCCTGTATGAGTGTGGAGACACAGGGACTTGCCCCAGTTGGACATGGGGACACCAGGGCCTGTCCCATGTGTGTATGGAGATACCAAGATCTGCCCCACAGGGGCCGGGGGACACGGGGACCTGCCCCACAGAGGAGCAGGAGCACCAGGTCCCACATGGGACCAGGAGCAGGGGCAGCCCGGTCCGGAGGCTCTGCCCCACACGGACCCCCATGCCCTGCCCCACAGGGGTGCACACACCGGGGTCCCCAGGGCCACCCTGTCTGTCCCCAGGGGCCCCACAGGGGCAGGGCCGGGGCCGCAGCGGCGCCACGTTCCCCAGGGCTGAGCTCACCCTCTGCCTCCCTCTCCCTGGGGACCCCCAGCCCGTGGGCTGTCACAGCCTCCTCTGTCCCCAGGGGTGGCACTGGGGGGCTGGCACCCCCAGCAGTGCTGCCCTCCTCCTCTGCCATCCCCAGCCCGGGGGGCTCGGAGACCCTCGGCGCCCTCAGGGCCCGGGAGAGCAACGGGACCTGCCCTGGAGCCACGGGAGCTCCTCCAGGCACAGGAATGAAGAGAAAAGGGGCACCAGGCTGGCCCCTCGTGCCACAGCCTTTAAACCTCATCAGCTGGGCAAGGACTTGCCCCCGGGGGGCATTTGCTGGCGTGGAGACCCCTCAAACGGCAGGGCTTGTCCCCCAGAGACGAGCTGGCCACGCCAAGGGCCTGGCACTGCTGGCACCTGGAAGGACCTGGGTGGAAAATCCCTCCTTTCCACTTCCCAGAGCCAGAGGGAAACCAGGGGAGCCCCAGGAGCCACCCTGGGTGGGGGTTGGTGTCCAGAAAACGGGGGCCCCAAATGAACAGAGCGGGGATGTGGCAGCAGGGAGAAAGAGTATGGAAGTGCCAACAGGGAGAAAAAGGGAGGGCAGGAAGGTGCAAAGGAGGGAAAGTGCTTCCCAGAGCTCTGCAACGTGTGTGCCAAGCTGTGGTGCTGCTGGAACGCTCCGCCGGGGCTGGGAGAGGAAGCCATGAGCCAAGGCCTGGGGCTGACAAACAGCCCGGGGCTCAGGGACGGCTCCGGGGTTCCCGTGACTCCCTGTGCCCCAGCTCAGAGCTGGGATGTGCTGGTGACAGCCCATCCAGGAACCCTGCTGGGGCCCGGGGAGCTTCCCCACGGCCTGGCGACAGTGCTGAGGGACAGGAAGGTTCCTGCCCCTGGGCTGGATGTCAGAGCTGGGGCCGTGGGAGCGAGAAGCCGGAGCCTTTCCTCATCTCCCTCGGGAGGGAAGACCCACATCTCCTGCTGCTCGACCCCAGAGACACGGTGGACCCACAGGGTGGTGGCTCCTCAGGGCGATGGCTCCATAAGGTGACAGCCCAACAGGGTGACAGCCCCTCGGGCTCCCAGGTCCTAGGGCTTGGTGAACGGCGCCAGGAGAGCAGCCAGACGGTGAAACCCTGCACAGCCAGAGCCGTTGTCTGCCTGGAAGTGTCCCAACAGCTGGGCTGTGCCACTGTCACCCTGCCCAGGGAGCCGCTGTCACCCTGCACACACAGCCTCTGTCACCCTGCCCATGGAGCCACTGTCACCCTGCACACACAGCCTCTGTCACCCTGCCATGAAGCTGCTGTCACCCTGCACACACAGCCTCTGTCACCCTGCACACACAGCCTCTGTCACCTGCCCATGGAGCTGCTGTTACCCTGCCTACGCAGCCTCAGCCTGCCCAGGAACACAAGGGCTCCCCCAAGGGCACTTGGGGACCCCAGGTTCTGCACTGAAGGGGCTGTTTGCTGCCACCAGCTGCTGTGGCTCTGCCCCCAGCTCTGGGTCCCCATGTCCTGCCTCACAAAGCCTTGTTGCCCATAGAATCATGGAATGGTTTGGGTTGGAAGGGACCTTAAAGATCACCCAATTCCAACCCCCTGCATGGGACACCTCCCACCAGCACAGGTTGCTCAAGGCCCCATCCAACCTGGTCTTGAAGACCTCAAGGGATGGGGCAGCCACAACCTTCCTGGGCAACCTGTTCCAGGGTCTCACCACTCTCACAAGAAAGAACTTTTTCCTGATATCCAACCTGAATCTCCCCTCTTTAAGCTTCAAACCATTGCCCCTTGTTCTCACACTACACAGCCGTGGAAAAAGCCCTACCCCAGCTTTCCTGTAGGCCTCCTTCAGATATTGGAAATATCTGCCCAGCCTCCCCCAGCCCAGCTCCCAGGCTGCCTGGGACATCCTTGCCCAGGAAGGAGGTGGAACCAGCCCCTGCCAGCATCCCTCAGTCCCCGCGTGGCTGTGGGTGTGCCCCGTGGGAGGTGTCCTTCCCAAGGTCACTCTCTGAGCCCAGACACCCACACAGCTTTGCACCAAGCCTGGCAGGGACCTTCCTCCATCCCAAGGTCACAGGGAGGGGCTGCAGTCCCACCAGGAGGGTGGCCAGGGTTGAGTAACGAGCCCAGCTCCCATCCTGCACCCCATACGTACATCTGCTGCCTTCTTCTCTGCCAGCTCCAGCTTCTCCTGGGCGTCTTTCAGGGCCTCAGAGTATTTGTCCAGCTCATCCTCCGTCCCCTTCAGCTTCTTCTGCATGGCAGCAAGCTCGTCCTCCAGCTGGAAGGGCAGCAGCTGTCACTGCAGGTGGACACCCCTCTGGATCCCCACACATCTCTGTCCCACATGCCACCAGCTGGCACGGGCTGAGCCCTGGGCAGCCCTCAGGATGCCCCACGATGTCATGACATGGTCCCCGAGCTGTGGGATGGTGGCAGCTCTTGTTGCCCTTGCCAGTGCTGGCTCTGGGCTCACCATGGTCCAGCACAGGGAGAGCCCACCCCCCAAACATCCTCGGGCTGGGGGCTTCTATCATCCACCCTACCTGCTTGCTCCTCTCCTCCGCCTGTTTCTGCTCGGCCTCCGCCTGCTCTGCCCGGTCCAGGGCATTCTCCTTGTCCAGCTTCAGCATCTGCATCTTCTTCTTTATGGCCTCCATCCTCGGTGGGACGCAGGTGGTGGGACAGCAGGCAGCAGGACGGGCAAGGGGCAGGCAGGGCAGCAGTGCTGCCTGTCACCCCACCGCCTCGTTTATCAACCCTGCCCTGCCTGCCGGCGCGGGGGCTTTGCCTTTCTTGGGCTGAGCCACCTCCCCACCTTCCCAAAAAGTCTGTGTCCAGGACCCATTGTCTGCCCCGGGGGGCCCGGGTGGCTGCAGCCTTATTTGGGCTCCTGGGGACAGCTGGGGCAGTTATAAAAAGCAGTGACAGGTCTGCAAGCGGGGGGTCCTGCATTGTCCAGGCCACCTGCCCCCCCCTTGCAATGGGACACCCTGGCTGGCATCATGGGGACACTGTGCTCCCACCCAGCACTCCCCTGGAACACGCTCAGGACATCAAGCCAGGTCTGTGCAGCACTGGCAGTGAAGCCCCCACCCAGCCCTGGTTTGCACCCCACTGTGGGCTTGGAATTTTTGGTTGGCCCCCGGGCTGACATTTCCCCGTGCCCGGGGGTGGCAGGGAAAGGGCAGGATCAGGCTGGCACCATTTTAGGAGCAGGGATTTAACAGCAGCCCCTGCCCCGGATTGTTTGGCTCAGCAGGGAGCAGCAAGAGGAGCTGAGCCCGACAGCCCCCCAGGAGCCCCCTGAGCCCCGAGCTCAGCTCCAGTCACCCTAGTGCCTGGCAGCCAGGCTGAAGATGCTGTTGGCAGCTGGAGGAGCAAATTCCCCAGGCGCAGGGAGGAATTCTCAGGGAGAGCAGCAGCACTTCCTACGCAGCTGGGGGATTAGCAGCCTCCTCGTGCCAGCCACAAGGTCCTGCTGGCCCCGGGAGCCAGGTCAGGATCTCATGGGGAAGACCCGCTGCTCCTGTCTGGGATTTTGGGGGCTGAGAGGGTCAGAGGGATGCGGGAGATGGGGAGTGGCTCCCCAGGGTGCCCATGCAGGGCCCCGAGTGGTTGCTGCACCTCAGGAGCCATAAATAACCCGGAGCTGCAGAGGCAGCAATGGGCACGGGGCCGTTGCCTTTGTCCTGGGATCATCCCGGGCACGAGCAGGGGGACAGGTGGTGAGTGCTGACCCCACCGCCATCCCAAACCTCCGCTGGCCCCGGGAAGGCAGCTCCCTCCCTGGCAGGGCGTGGGCAGCATCTCGACCAGTTGGCGCTGGGTGTTCCTGGCGCTGTAAGAATATGTTTGATATTTAGTTGGTTTTCCAATCAAACAACCTAATATCAAACATATCAGACAGAGGCAGGGGCAGGTGAAGGTGGAGTCCCCACGGGACTCAGCTGCCTGCAAGAGAAGGAGAGAGGAAAGCTGAGCATGTTCAACCCTTGCTGCTTGCCAGGCAGGACCCTGCACAGGGCACCCCAGCCTGAGGGTCCAGAGCCCACCTGCTCCAGCCCCCAGATACTCTGGTGCTCGGGCAGGATGGATCCTGCCGTGGGGATGAAGCAGAGCAGGGTGGTGCAGGCGCAGCCTCCCGGCACCCCAAGGCACGGAGGGGCACCCCATGTCATGGCAGTGCTGCCCACCCATCCCTGCACACCCGGGGCCGGGGGGACCCCACGTCTGTCGGTGCCTTACGTGGGGGGGGGCAGTGCCGGTGCCCCAGCCCCGAGCACGTGGCCCCGTTCCCATCAATTACCACCCATCGACGTCCCCCTGCCCCCTCGCAGCCCCCCGCGCCCTGGCTGGTCGATACGGGTCGATGTCCCCGCGCTGCCTGCTCCTGCCCCCGGTCACACTCCGCAGTCATTAGCAGGGTCATCAATACTGGGAAGCTGGGCCCAGCCCGGGGGGCTCCGTGTCACTGCGGGGCTGTGTGTGACCCTGCCCAAGGACGAGACCCGGCCCATGCTGAGGGGCTCTGCCCCACGTCCCCTCCTTCTGTGTCCGTGAACCCTCAGTTAGGGAAAGCCACTGGGACCCCCCATGCATGCATCCCCTCTGTGGGGCAGCTGGAGTCAGTGACTGTCGCTGCCCTGTCCCTCATACCCTGTGGCCCCACCATGCTGGGTGATGCAGGCAGGACCCTGCCCAGCTTTGGGTGGGCTGTCAGGACCTGGTGCCACCAGGGCAGGAGGGCACACAGGGTCCGTCAGGGCACTGGGGGCACATGTGTCCCTGTGCCCGGGCAGTGCTTCACCACAGCGGGACACATTGACCTTGGGAACAGCACTGAGGAGGGCAAACTTTGGGGGGGACAATAGGGCAGGACATGGGGCGGCTGGAGCCCTGAGTACCACGAGGGGAGGGGGACGCAGCCCCCGCCCTGCTGCCCACCTGGGCTGGGGAACCAGGGGCTGCAGGGGCAGCAGAGCCAGGCAGGAGGGTGGCAGCAGGGACAGCGGGGACACACGTGGCGGCGCTGGGAGCGTGTGTGGCAGCAGCTGATGTGATCCAACCCGACAGCAGAGCTAATGAAGGGCCAAGGGCGGGGGGTGCCAGCCCCGCAGCCCCCAGCCCTGTCAATAAGCAGAGCCAGGACGGGCACTGATGGGCCCTGGGGCCGGGAGACACCAAGGTCGGCACAGGCGGCGGGGACAGGAGGGGGGACAGGGCCCCCCTGTGGGGGAGCAGGCGGGGGCTCAGGGGTGCCTGGATGGAGAGTGGGGCCAGGGACCCCCAGCCCAGCCCCTCTCCCTGTGCCAAGGGCCAGGAGCACCGCGCCATGCGGGCCAGGACCCGGGCCAGGAGCAGGACGGCAGGGCTGGCTGGGCCTCCCCCCGTCCCAGCACGCAGCCCCCACCTGACCCCAGGTGTTTCCCTCCCAGCCGCCCGGAGCTGCTCCACGCAGGTGCCTCTCCCGAAGGGCTGCAGCCCCTGCTGGACCTGCCGAGCACAGGAGCTGGTGCTGGACAAGGGGGGCACAGGGCTGGGAGCCCCCAGCCATGCCCGACCCACGCTGGGCCTCCCCACCTGCAGCTCCAACCCCAGGCTCTGCACAGAGCCCTGCACCCCACATCCTCTCCCTGCTGGGGGTGCCACCTGCCCACTGCTATGGGGCAGGACAGGGTGCCAGGGGACACTAGCACTTGCCCCCTCTGCCTGCCCCAGGTCACTCCACACTGGGGCTCCCCCTCCTCTGCTGCCCCTCATCACAGGGTGTTCACCACAGAGGCTCCCCTGTGCCAGGACCTGCAACCAAAGCATGTTTGGGGGCCCAGGGTTTAACCCACTTGAGGGGGACGCTGTGCCCTGCTGTCCCCAGCCACTGCTGGGACAGCCACCCTCCCAGCCCCTGCCCCATCCCTCCCCCTGCCCCAGGGAGGGGCTCTGGCTGCTCACGCACCCACATGGCTGCTGTGACAGGGCCCCTGCAGCCACCCTGTGCCAGCTACACCATCAATCCTGGTTACTGTAGCACCTGGATGGACACACGCTGGATCCAGCAAGGAAGGGATCCTGCTCGGGGTAACTGTCATTTTATTAAAGAGCAATTAAAAAGAGTGCAGAGTCCTGGGTGAGGGGCAGGGGTCCCCACCCCACGTGGCACACGCTGCCGTGGGCCTGGCAGGACGTAGATGTCGAGTTGGGGGCCACGAGCTTTCACCCCCGGGGGCTCAGCAGCTGCTGGCACACAAGGTGCTGGTGAGAGTGGGGGGAAACACCCCCTTGGCAGGACAGACAAGACATTCAAAGCTGTTATTTGTCTGCCCAAGATGTGCCCAAATGTCCAGTTGCAGGAGAAAAAGAGTAGAAAGTGCAGCCCAAAGAGGCACCTCAGCCATGGCAGGCTGGGATCTGGCCACCAAACTATGTACACGCCATCCAGGCACGTGGGTGCCCTGGCTCAGAGGCACAGGCAGCGCCGGTGCCACAGGGAAAATAGGAGGATCCACCCTTTGGAAAGAACAGACAAGGGGCTCCAGAGCCTGAGCCCCTGACAACCAGGACAGACAGACAGAGTCAGCCCCGCGGGGCAGCAGGTGCAAGGAGCGCTGGGGAGCGATGTCCTTGATATGCTAAAGCTACTCTGAGTTTATTCACAGGGTCGGGGCTCCAAGACGTTGCCAGACTCAAAGCCTCAAGCCTGAAGACTGTCCCAAGCCCCCGTGGAAGAGGCCACACGGGCTGAGCCCCCCTGGGTTCCTGGTGGGGGCTGAGCTCCACCAGCTGGCACAGAGGGGCTGTGGAGCCATCATCTCCGAGGTGGTGGAAGAGGGAGACCCAAGAGCACAGCTGCTTCCTCCCAGCACTGCCTGATGCTGAACAGTGGCCAAAACCCACCCGGGACAGCAGCTGCAGCCAGGAGGGGGCTGCTCGTGGCAGGTCCCTGCAGCAGTGCTCCCTGTGGCTCACAGGGTGCTCTCCAGCGTGTTGTAGTTGTCCTTGAAGCTCTTCAGCTCCAGGAAGTGTTTGGCACGTTTGCTCTTCTGGCTGGAAGGCAGGTAGGTGACCTGGATGGTGGCAGGGTTGGAGACTTCAGGGGACAGGGTGAGGTCCTTGGCTGCTGACTGGTGCTGCCTCTGGCTGCTGCCTGCCCGGGCCTTGGTCCTGCAGGGAGAGGAGAAGCACCATGTGTGAGGCTCACACCATGGAAGCTGCTGCCCTCCCCAGGGGAGAAGCTCAACCATCATGTCCGTCTGCCTGACACAAGGCAGAGCTGCCCTCAGGACAAACACATTCTCTGTGGTTTTGAAAACCAAAGCTGGTGCTCCTTAGTGCCACTGTCTGGAGATGTGGGGGTGTCAGGCCATAGGCTGGACTTGATGATGTTAAAGGTCTTTTCCAGCCTTGGTGATTCTGTGATTCTAAGGGTGCTGGGCCTGGAGCCTGCCTAAGATCCTGGAGCCTGCCCAAAGTTCCTGGCTCAAAGCAGCCAGAGCAAGCAGGAACCTGGAGCATGACCAAATAACAAACCTAAAAACATATAAACAGATGGGCCGTGAACCTGGAAGTGAACCTGGAAGGATGGACAGGCAGGAAGAGCTCATGTCTCTGAAGTTTTGCCCCAAAACAAACAGCTGCTGGGGCCCAAAAAGCCCCCACCATACCCAGACAGGAACACTTACATGTTTGCCAGCTCGTTCAGAGCATCCTGGTACTTCAGATATTCTGGTTTCCCAAAAACCTGGACACAAACAGAAAAGAGGTGGAAAACCCAAGTGAGGTTCCAGTGTGACCCCATCCTGGCTGTGGGAGCAGAGGGAGGAGCAGCCCCAGCACTCACCCCGGTGCCGTAGCGGGCGCTCTCGTACCCGTCCAGCAGGGAGTCGATCAGGGCTTTGCGGAGGCCTTTGAAGGAGGTGCTGGAATTCCTCAGCTCCAGCAGGTAGGCACAGAAGTTCTTTCCTATTAAAGACTTTGGGTAGCGACCCTCGGCCTGAAATGGGATTTCTGGAAAACAAAAAGGCACAACTCAACCAGCTGAAGGGGGAACATCTGGAATTACCCGCAGAGCGGGTCAGAACTTGGTGGATGATTTGGCTTCCCAGCACATCTGCTGCCTCCCTTTGCTGGTGGGAGCAGAGCAGACCCTCAGGCTGCCAGCACCCATGGGATAAGTGACTGCTATTCCTAAATGAGGACCTGGAGGGCAGGGATGTCATCCTGAGGGACCTGGACAGGCTGGAGAGGTGGGACCTGTGAAGCACATGGAGGCAACAAGGCCAAGTGCAAGGTCCTGCACAGGGGCCGGGGCAATCCCAAGCACAAAGCCAGGCTGGGGAGAATGGATGGAGCAGCCAAGGAGAAGGACTTGGGGGTGTTGGGGCAGGAGAAGCTCAACATGAGGCAGCACCACGTGCTGGAGCCCAGAAACCCCCCGTGTCCTGGGCTGTCACCAGCAGCGTGAGCAGCAGGGCCAGGGAGGGGATTGTCCCCTCTGCTCTGCTCTGCTGAGACCCCCTGCAGGGCTGGGAACAGCTCTGGGGTCCCCAACACAGGGAGGACATGGAGCTGTTGGAGAGAGTCCAGAGGAGGCCCCGGAGATGCTGGGAGGGCTGGAGCAGCTCTGGAGCCAGGCTGGGAGAGTTGGGGTGTTGAGCCTGGAGAGGAGAAGGCTCCAGGGAGACCTTAGAGCAGCTTCCAGGGCCTGAAGGGGCTCCAGGAAAGCTGGGGAGGGACTTGGGCCAAGGGCAGGGAGGGATGGGATGAGGGGGAGGGATGAAAAGTGGGAGAGGGAGCTGGAGGTTGGAGCTGAGGAGGGAATTGTGGAGTGTGAGGGTGGGGAGAGCCGGGGCCAGGTTGGCCAGGGAAGCTGTGGCTGCCCCATCCCTGGGGGTGTTGAAGGGCAGGTTGGATGGGGCTTGGAGCAGCCTGGGCTGCTGGGAGGTGTCCCTGCCCATG